AAAAAAAAAAAAAAAAAAGAATTCACAAAGCCCCGAGATCAGCCACTCGCTGTCCTGCCCTCACATCAGGGGCACGCTGGGTCTTAATTAACATGGGGGAGCCTCTCCCAGTCTAATCTGATTGGGTCCCACCTGGGCGTCCTGAGCCGTGACCCACGTTGCTTCCCCTGCGCATGTTGCAGCTTTCGCATCTTCCTGACCCTAGAAACAGCTGCTCCACAGCTGCCCAAGCATTCTTTTCAAAGCCCACGGAGGCCCCCACCCAAAACTAGTGGACTCTTTGCACCCACTGTGCCAGGAGCACACCTGGAGCCAGGCACGTGGCACAGTGCCAACCCCTGGTCTCTGCAAAGAAGCTCTGGCAAGCTGCCCCTAGGGTCAAGGGCATCTTGCCCCAAAAGGAGACCAGGAAGGCTTCTCACAGTGGGGGCATCTGCACTGAGGCCTGAAACGCCCAACAAGCTGAATTAATTCATTGGCGCCCTCCCTGCTCCCATCCTGTGCACAATGCCTGCTCTGTGCCCTGCCACACAGGTATGTGGATTCCCCAGATACTGCAGGTTCTTACTTTGTTGGGCCTCACAGCCTGGGTGGCCCCTCCCTGCCAGCTGAGACAGCTCCAGTATCACTGGCCACAAACCTCCCAAGTTCCTCTGTGGTCAGGGCAGCTTTCCTCTCCTGAGTGCCCATGGCACCCACACACACCACAGGCATCAGCACCCAGCCCACCTCCCCTGCTAGAAAATCAGACCTGGCACCCAAGCCACAGCCACAGAGGGAACAGTCGGACAGGGCGGGGGCAACAGGGGAGGGAGGGAGGCGAGTCAGCTATCCCAGCCCAAGGTGTCTGGGCATCCACCGAGTGGGCAGGCCCTCCAGCTGAGCTGCCAAAGGTATGGCGATTACCAAAGACCACCCGGCCCTCACCCAGACGCTCCTCCCACCAGGTCTCCTGCACCAGGTCTGAACAAAACTGGGTGCTCGCCAGCCCTGAACGCTGCCCGGCCTCTCATGGGCTCCCAGGACCTGGGATGGAGAAGCAGGTTTACCTATCACACTTTTGGCAAATGACGCTCTTTTGAGAGTGGCCAGGCCCAAGTCACCAATCTTCACAGACCCAGTGGGTCCGGTGATAAAAATATTGTCGCATTTCAGGTCTCGGTGGATAATGGGCGGCGTCCTCGTGTGCAGGAACAGCAGGCCTTTCAGGATCTGCCGGCACCAGCTGCGGAGAACCTTGGGCTTCATCACCTTGAACCGCTTCAGGTACCTGCAGGGGTGCACGGGCACAGCTCACCAAGCAGCTCGCCGGCAGCGGCCCCCTAGCAAAGCCCCCACCTAACGCTGCTGAGGCCTGTACTAAGACCGATTCCGTGTACACGGCACACACCTGTGACAGGGAGTGAAAGTGAGACAGGAAGGCCAGGCAGTTCTGCCCTGGGCCAGGTGTCACACAGCTGACAGGCCCCTGAGCAGGCAGCCGGGAGGGCTCACAACCCTCTTTGCTCCGCTCATGCCAAGGACCTGGCGACTAAAGTTCATGCCAAGTTTCATCTTGACTTCACTGGGAGGTGGTGCCAGGCTGACTTGTAAGTTGCCCAAGGCAAGACAGAGTCCCAGTCAGCAGATGCTCAGGTGAGGGTGAGGGTTATGAAAGCCCGGGGCTGTCAGAACCGCAGGGGCCAGGTGGGGCTCTTCCTGCTGCTGGCCACCTGCCTGTGTGGCCTTCCCTGAGCTGTGCCCGGGGAGGAGGTGGTGGGTGAGGCTGAGAAAAGGGCTCTCCCCTTGCGGTGCATCCACCTATTAGAGAAACTGCCTGGCTGAGGGGCACTGAGGCCCTGCCCAAGGCTACATCGTCCAAAGATTCAGATGGACCCAGGATACAGCACCTGGAGAGTAGCCCCCATCCCCACAATGCAGACTGGGGCCTTAGCGAGCAGCAACAGGCAGCCATGGCCACCCCACCCCCCAACCCTCAGCCCTCACTAACCACCTCCACGTCCTCAGAATCCCACAGTCCCCGCTATGCACCCCACCCAGGCTGCTTCCTGAGCCTGAAGATGTGTGGGGCTGGCTCCCAAGGGGAAACAGAACCCCAGCCGGAAACAGGGCCCAGACACCAGACAGATCAACCATCTCCCTGGGAAGTAAACCACCTGCTGGCATCCCACACAGGAGAGGAAAGAGGAAACAGCCCCCCACAGGCACCAGCCAGGACCACCCTAGTAGCCCAGGATCTCACTCCCAGCTATGGTGGCCCTGCACCTATGCCAAGACCCCCACCCAGCCCTCAGGAAGCAGAGCTTACGTCTTCAGCGTCCCCGAGGTCATCAGCTCGGTCACCAGCACAATGCACCGCTTGCCCTTAGCGCTAGACTCCCAGAAGTCGTAGAAGCGCACGATGTTGGGGTGCTGCAGGCCTTTCAGCATCTCAGCCTCTTCCTTGAACCGCTGCCGCTCCAGCTTGGTGAGCTTCCGGTCCTAGAGGGCAAGAGACATGCTGAGTGGGCAAGAGATGGGACATAGGAGGGGACACGGCAGTGGCACATCCCAGCGGCCCTGGGGGCAGTAGGACCAGCCCTTCCTGTACCCACAGGCAGCTGAGCAGCTACAACAGAGGGGCACACAGCCACTGGCACCACAACAGTTGACCCCCTGGCCCCCAAAACCCTGGACACAGTCCCCACAAATGGACCTCAGCAAAAAGATATCCTACGAAGCCAAAGAAGTCTCACAAATCTCCACACTGCCACACTTGTGCATTTTTTCCACAAAAACACATCTGAGGCCTTTGCTTCCTCCACAATCACTCACTTTCTGTGTGTTTCCGAAAAGAATGAACCATCAGTTTACCTCTAACGTATACACAACTCGGAAGAAGTGCTCAGGGCTCGGTGGACCAGAGGAGACATGGACAGGTACCTGAGACAAGAGCTGAGGATGCAGGAAAGAGAAAAGCCCCGGCTGAGCCACACTGACCAGCCGACAGCCCAGAGGGCAGCCTAGGCTGTCCGGTGCGGGAGGACACAGCAGACACCTCCACAGAGCCTTGCGCCACTGTGTCCGCACAAGCCAGCACAATCAGTCACTGACCTAACTTTAAAATAGGAAACAGCAAACAAACACCACCATCATCACCTGTGAACCCTGGTCAGGTGCCTGCCTCTTATGCCTGCTCTGCCCACTGTCCCACGACGGGTCACCAATTCCAGGCACCACATTCAAACATGTCCCAGCAACAGCCACCCTGCCCCCACCTGCCCAGCCTCCGCCTTTTTTATTTTTTATTTTTTGCTGAGGTCCCTTTGCGGGGGCTGCGTCCAGCGTTGTAGGGGCCAAGGGGTCAGCCTCTGCCTCTCTCCTCTGCCTCCCACCACCCTGTCTGAGCTCGCCCATCTCTCACCACCCTGTCCCCGACCTCATCCCTCACTGCAGTCCCCCTGGATCCTGCGCTTCCCTTTCCCCAAATCCTTCAGTGGATTCTCTCCAAAGAGGGCTCAGAATAAACCCAGGGAGTTCGCATGGCCCTGAAGGCCCCATGTGCTTCCAACTTCCCCTCACGAGGTGACAGCTACCTCCACAGGCCCAGCTAAAACCTCTCCTCCTGCTGCATACATGCCATGCCCTTCTCACCTCCATCCAAGGTCCTGCCCCAGGATCACCCCCTTGTCCTGGTCCAATGAGCCCACAGAGCAACACATGCCTCCCTTCCACCAATTCCCATGGGAACGTCGGAAAAGAAACATACGTATTTTCAGAAGGAAACCAGAAACACAACTGAACACAGAACAGCAAAATTCCGGGGAATTCTAAACAGATAGAAAGCAGGTAAATCTGGATACATGAGGGGAGAGATCAGAGTGAAAGTATATGCAAGTCAAGACCCCTGGATCCTTCCGGAAGGGCCCAAAGAACGTGAAGCCAGACTCCAACGCAGAGAGGAGAAGCGGCAGGAGCTCGACAAGGGTCATCTTGGGGGAAAAATTACATCCCAAACGTGGCTGCGCCCATGAGACAGTTCTTCCTCCATCGACCCACCAAAGCCCTCCCCACAGCACCAACTCTCATGGGCCCCTTCATTCCAGTGTGGGATGCACAGTGACATCACCATAGGGTCAAGCAATACCCAGAGAAGCCATCGTCATGACAGGGCCAACCCAGAAAACAAATAATTCAGAGACCAATGGCAACTCCAAGAAAAATCTAACCAATGCTCTCATAAAGACTCGAAGTTAACACAAGTAAGATAGATCAAGCTTCTATTTGGAAAGGAACACTAGAGAAGGAGCTCTTCCACATTTACACAGCGTTGGGCACTGCTCTTACTAACAAGCTCAGTGTTTTAGAAATAAGATATTCCATAATCCAGTGAAACATTAAGTATAAAAGAGTGCATGTTTAACCCAGACAATAAAATGGAAACATGTTCTATTCATCAAAAACGGTTATTTAGCCAGGTGTGGCTCACGCCTGTAGTCCCAGTTACTCGGGAGGCTGAGGCAGAGGATGGCTGGAGCCCAGGAGCTCAAGACCAGCCTGAGTAACACAGCGGGACCTCAGCTCCCAAAAAAAAGGTTATTAAGTCAAGCCGTAAACTGGGAAAAACTATTCTCAATACACGTATCTGACAAAGGACTCAGATCCAAAATGTATAGAGAACTCCTGTAATTCAGTAATAAACACATGAACAGATTCTACACCAAAGACACAGAAATGGCCAACAGCACACGGAAGGAGGCTGAGCAGCATCAGTCGCTGGGAAAATGCCAACAAACACCACACTGAGATGCACCCCACACCCCCCAGAAGGGCTAAATTAAAAGATGGATACTTCCAACTACTGGGGAGGCTGGGGAACAGCGAGCCCGACCTGGAACACTGCTGCTAGGAGTTCAGGTGGCGCAGCCCTCAGAGGAGGGCTTGGCAGGGTTCACACCTGCTCTATGTCCAGCCATTCCCCCTCCCAGAATCCATCTGGGAGGAAAGAAAACATGCCAGACACGGTGGCTCATATCTGTAATCCCAGCACTTTGGGAGGCTGAGGCGGGTGGATCATGAAGTCAGGAGTTGGAGACCAGCCTGGCCAACATAGTGAAACCCTGTCTCTACTAAAAATACAAAAAAATTAGCTAGGCGTGGTGGTGGGTGCCTATAATCCCTGCTACTTGGGAGGCTGAGGCCAGAGAATCACTTAAACCCAGGAGACGGAGGTTACAGTGAGCCGAGCCAAGATCATGCCACTTCACTCCAGCCTGGGCCACAGTGAGAGACTCTGTCTCAAAAAAAAAAAAAAAAAGAAGAAAAAGAAGAAGAAAAGAAAAGAAAAGAAAACGTAAGTCCATTAAAAAATGGACTTGGATATTCAAAGCAGCCTTATTCATCACAGCCCCACCTGGAAACCACCAAAACATTTGGGGCCAGGTGAGTGAACCATGCTGCACCCATGCAAATGGGACCATGGCTCAGCAGCAAAAAGGAGCACACTCCTGCTTCTCAGCAGCACAGGGGAGGGCCAAAAGCATCACACTGAAGGAAAGAAGCCAAACAAAAGAATGTGTCCGGTGGGATCCCATCTTCACGTGAAACTCTGGAAAAGATGGACTAATATGTGGGGATGTGGGGAATGCCATCAGAATAATGGTTGCCTCTGGGGTGGGAGTCAAGAGATCCTGGGGTTGGGGGGTGAGAGAGGAATGGTCCACATCATAACAAAGCACGTGGGCTGCACCTCTGTGTGGTTTGTCAGAGCTCAACTTGCACACTTAAGTTCTGTGTGTTTCATTACATGTAAATTACACTTCAATTTCTCATATGTAAAAACAAAAGAAGGAAAAAAATTCAAAGACCAAATGAGAGAAGTAGAAGAAAGAAAATAGAAGAGAAACATTAAGATACATGGAAGAGCTGCCTGGAAGTCAAACTATGTCAAAAAGGTTCAAAGAACAGACATCATGAAGTATAAACAGTAAATTAGCATTTCCCTGAGCTGGAAGGAGAACAATTTAGAATAAAATGGCCCACCAAGACCAGGTCAGAGTAAATGAACAGCCCACCTCCAGGCTGTTCTAGTGAAATGTCAGAACCCCAAGCAACTCCTATCTGCAAAGGAACAGCCCAAATGGGCAGCGAGTCTCATCGGCAACACTGGGTGCAGGTGGCGGGGGCAGCGTCCTCAAAGTGCTAACTGGGAATTCTATACCCTGCCAAACAGACACCAATCCAGGCGGTCCAGACTCATTTCAGACACACAAGAGCTCAAAGTTAACTTCTCATGCAGTCTAGGTGGAACAAGTTCCTGGAAGACATGTTTCCACAACACACAACACAACAGAAAGATATGCAGCCAGGGTGACCCTAGAGGTCCCCGGCCGTGAAAGAAGCTCCAGAGGAGATGGCGGTGCTCAGCTAGGCCAGTTTGCCCAGGAAGCCTTCTCTGAGAAACAGCATGTCAGTTCACAGTTCCCACTCAGTGCGCCTGGTCCTTGATTCCAGAGGAGACTCACAGAATCATTTATAGCACAAGTTATTTTTGCCAGTATTTTAGCACCAAGAGTTACGTGTAAAACATTTCATTGTAGTTTCAGAGCAAAATGTTCACATTCTAAATGACTAAGAAAAAAACGGGAGGTAGAGGGATGTACCCTGCATGCACTACATTCTTCATTTTTCACAGCAGTTACCTACCAACATTGAAAAATTTCAGATAGAAAAGTCAGAAATGGTTAACAATGGTGCCTCTTAGAGAGGGGCTCAGAAGGGAAGAGGATCTCATTTTATATTGTATGCCACACAACTATTTTAATCAATGTGACACACTGCTTGGTAATTTTTTTAGTAGGTGAGACAGGGTCTCAATCTGTCACCCCGGCTGGAGTGCAATGATGTGATCATAGCTGACTGCAGCCTCAATTTACTGGGCTCAGGTGATCCTCCCACCTCAGCCTCTCAAGTAGCAGGGACTACAAGCAAATGCTATCATGCTGGCTATTTTTTTTTTTTTTTAAGCGATGGGGTCTCTCACTATGTTGCCCAGGCTGCTCTTGAACTCCTAGGCTCAAGAAGTCCTCCTGCCTTGGCCTCCGAAAGTGCTGGGATTACAGGTGTGAGCCACCATGCCCAGCCTGCTTGGTACTTTAATGGTTGGCTAGTGTGTCCCCCTCTGAGCCTTGCCCAGAGCCCAGCTACAGGGCATGCTGCTCCCACAGAACTTGTCCACATCCTCATCACTTGCTTGTTGGTCTCGGGTTGGCCTGCATGACAGGAGCAGCTCCATGAACCATCTGTGAACTGAATTTATTCATTAACCTACTAGGAAAGGCTCTCAGCCAACAAGCCAGCGCAGGAAGAATGTACCTGCTCCCTAAGCGATTCCCAAATCCCAGGCTCACAGGGTGCTTAAAGGTTTGGTGTTGAGTTGGGGTCAGGGGGCTACTGGCTGCTCACTCAACATGATACTCCTCCCCGCCAGGCACTGGAGGGTA